TTTCTGGTTCCCAGCCTTCCCCTCCTCCAGATATCAGGAGGTATCTGGCCTGATCATCCCATATGACCATGTGGCCATCCAAGTCTGCCTGGGGCCTACTTGTTCATCCTCATGATTTAAAGATCAAAGCCTGTTGCTGCATGATCAGCTCAACCACGGGAAGCAAGCCTCGATCAGGAGGATGGTAGGGATTATATTTTGTGGTTCCCTTAGATGTGGAGAAGCTGTAGCATCTCAGTTCAAAGAGAAAATGGAAAGGTTTGTACTGAAGAGGAATACAGCCAGCACTCTAGAAGCATCCGGCTTCTGTCAGTAATGCCAGTAACGTCAGCCAGGGATCTACATACAAAATGAACACTCCTAACAGAGCGATGAAATCTTCTAGCCTTCATGGGAAGTTTAGGCTCCAGAATTATCCGACTTGCAGGACACAAAGCCCCAGAATTCTACGTCTTTACTCTGGGTTCATTCCTGGTTCCACAGGAATCATGGAGATTTTCCATTTCTCGGGGTTGGCTGATTAGCCCTAGCAATTATATGACTGATTCTAACTTTGGGAAAAAATTCTTTGAAGAGCTCTCTGGACAGTTGTCCCCTTCCCCACTCGGTCACCTTGGGACTGGTCAATGTAGAGTCTGCTGCCTAGGTAACGATTGAGTACGTCACTCACAGGACTGCTGCCGGGGGCCACAGCCTCTAATGAGCACAAGAGGAAATGTGTTTAGAAGTGCTTTTTCCAGCCCCTGACCTCAGCAACCAATCCCAGCTTTGAGAGGAGCTCCACCTTGGGAACAGGAACAGAAGAGTTCTGTTCTATGTGCTGGGGAGGGAGTAGGACTGAGTAAATCTTCATGGAGCTCCTACAGAAACTCCTTTGATGAGAAACATTCCACCCAGGACATACTTGCCTGAGAGTGACCAGGCTCCCCTGGGAGCCAAGGGAAGATAGTTTGTTCTTATGAATCATGTTCTGACATGTGATCACTTAAGAGAGGGCAATAGCCCTTTAAACGTAGTCATCAGCTACATTCAAAAGTAAAGAATTGAAAGTGATTATAGAGATTTAGTCCACCCCCTTAGCTCGCAAAAGGCAAAACTGAGCCCAAACAATTCAGTGGCAAGCTCAGAGTCACGAGAAATTTAACGCTGTTGGTCTCATGACCATCTCTCTACTCTAATCCACTGCTCATTTCTGGTGAAGAAAACATAAAGCTTGATGTTGTAAGGATTAAAAAGAATGGAAAATCCCTTGAAATGGTCCCAGAATGTGGATAAGGACTGAATCCTTGTTGATGTTCGGGAAATAGAAGGTCCAAAAACTTGTGCATTGCCTCTATTTCAGGAACTTTAAGGAGTCATATAGTTCTTTACATGTTTCGTAGAAAATTGCAGCTTAGATCTTACCTTTGGTCACGATAGTACCTTTTCATGTAGTGAGCCAATTCACACCATGGCCATGTCGAAATAAAGCACTTCCGTTTCACACAATTATCCAAGAGCTTGACGATAGATTGGTGAGATGCAACTTATTGGAGCCTCCAGCTGGTCCAGACACTGGGCCATGTGGTAGAGGGACGGGACCAACCACCTTGTCACCTAGTCTGAGAGAGCTTTCTAGAGATATAGAGGAGTCACGAAGGAAGGAGGACCCATCCTACCTTGTCACGCACAAGAGGCTCCACTGCCCTGCATGTAGAAAGTGTGGGTGCTGCTCTTGGGCACCGTGGCTAGAAGAGGTTGAGCCACTGAAGTGTGGAAAATTAAGGGGCGAAGTGGTGGATGTGGTTGGTTCAATTTCTTCTGGGTAAGGCCTTCTACAGCCAACATGGAACCCCCTACAGAAAGATTTCCCTCTGAACGCGGCATTAACTTCTTCCAGCTAATCTGGGGGGTAAAAAAGGCTCCACTTCCTATGATTCTCCTGCCATTAATTGGCTTTCCTGGCCAAGCAATTTCTAAATTGTGTTTTGGACATGGGACTTAATAAAGAGGAATAAAAAGAAATTTAACAATAAACATGCTTTGTCTACTAATGTGACAATCAAAATAAATTAAAAGTTATTCATTTGTTTTGGTCTGATTATAAAAGTAATGCATGCTCATTGTAGAAAACATAGAAAATACGAGGCATAGAAACAAGTATCCATAATCCCATCACCCAAACACACTCTCGCTAACTCACGAGAGCAGAACTTTGTGTTTCTCGCCTACTGCAATATCCTCAGTACTTCTTGGAATAGTGCCTTGTACATAAGTGCTTAATAGACATTTGTTGAATGAATGGGTGTGACTATTTTGGTGTATCTATTTCCAGCCCTTTTCCTATGTACATTATGCATGATTATAGTCAGACTCTATTCATTACAGAATATAATATTATATCTATTTTTTAAAACTTGCTATGATAACTCAGGTATGCCTACATCACAAAAACTCTTTATAAACATTACTTTTAAAGAGGCTTAGTGCTCCGTGTCTTGTGTATACACCTTTTACTTATTTACTTTCATAATTGCTAGATATTTGGAGGAAAATATACATTTCAAAGGCACTTTGCAAGAAAGGCTTACCTTTGGACAAGCAGACATACTGACGGTTTTACTAGGCTCCTCTATGTTCAGTGGACACTAAAAAGTTACTGAAATCACATTCTATTATTTACTTCCATAGTCTCACTGGACTGCATAAAGAAGTGGAAATAATGCCAGAGGGAAATCTTGAAATGAGAATCAGGACATGACCTTGTCAGACTATTATAATTAAGAAGTATCTTTTGAATATTATATTGTATGAATCAATTAATTCAAAGAACTAGTCATTATGCTAAATTCTGGAAACAGAGTCTCAAGAATGTAACTGAACTAATCGCTGCTTTCTCTTTGCAAAGAATCCCCTGTGTCAGCCTGGTTAGAGAATAGAGGTTAATATAGCGCCATCTGCTGCTGAAAAGGAAAATGAGAGCCTAGGAATCCTCCGGGATGAGTTCTCTGATTTTAAACATTGACTTGTATAAGAGATAAAAGGGAATTGATATGTGGTTTTTTGCAGGATCCCCTTGTATCAGGACTGGATACAGCTTTTTAAAAAAGGCTGTGAGTGGACTTCTGGCTCCAGATGGCTACAGAATACACTTGATTAACTCCTCCACCTGTTAGAAATTTCTATGAAAATTCAAAAGGAATATACAAATAGGGAGAAATGCATGTCAGAACAGGAAACCATGGAAAGGGACCAACACATTCTGGAACCCATGAGAACTTTCTGCATGACATAGTGAAGGTGAGATTGGATTGAGGGAAGGGCTCATTAGCCTGCCATTGACCACATGGGAGGGAAAAGCTGGGGAAATGAGTGGGACAGACGCCTGCAGAACCCCCCAATACCTACCAGCTCACAGTGATGGCACTGGAGGTGGGGGTAGGTTATTAGGCACATAGTGAGAGGAAAAAGTGGACCCTTCCTCTGCTCTGGGAAATGCACCAGGTCCTGGAGTCTGCATACACTTGGCATGTGAAATTAACCAGGCACTGCCAAGCCTGGCTTCTGAGAAAGGCAGTCAGGTCAGTTAGAAGAGAGTGTCAGGTGACCCCAGCAAACTCTACCTTGGAACACTAAGTCCCAGAAAGCATTTGCACCATCTCGAGTTTCCAGGTCAAGTAACCAATATCCAAAGATTCTATACTCAGCCAATCATTCGAACGTGACAACCACATTCTCAGATGTGCAAATATTCAGAGTTTTCCATCCACACAGCTTTCCTGAAGGAAAACACACACATGCACTTAAGGATTATGGTGGTGAGTAATAAAACCAATCTAACTCAAGAATTAAGTCAAGATCATTATAGCTAATAAAGTTATGAAATAGAATAACAATATAAAAACAGTCCCAGGAAGAGAAGTGAAATAATTAATACCATCATCCTCATTATCAACCGTTCTCTCTAAAATCCCCTGGTGAGGAGAGGACAGAGAGTAAAGGTTGTCTCACATCCTCATCTTAAAAGAGTCATATGTTTTCTGTTTCATTATTGACCCTGATAGGGAAACGAGTCCAAATATGCTGTTTAATGTACTGGTTATAAACTCAATACTATGGAATATTTTTCAAATTATTAGTATAAAAAAGGAGCAAAGAAAATTTAATCCATATGGCAAGGTACAGAAAGAATAAGAACCAGAAGCAAATTTAACTTAAGGATATTGATTTTAAAGTCCTAAATTATATCTTTGCATATAGAAGTCAGCAATGTAATAAAATCGTGGTGCACTCAAGAATGCATGGATGGTTCAGTATTAAGAATAAGAACCAGAAGCAAATTTAACTTAAGGATATTGATTTTAAAGTCCTAAATTATATATTTGCATACAGAAGTCAGCAATGTAATAAAATCATGGTGCACTCAAGAATGCATGGATGGTTCAGTATTAAGAAATCCATTTATATAACATTCATTCAACAAACGTTTGTAAGTGCCTATCCTAAGTGCCAGAACAATGTGACTTACTTGGTCATCCTCCCTAAAACCTCCCTCCCAGACTCATTTATGTCACTCTCTAGTTCTTTTCTCCACAGCGCTCCTTCTCTGTAATTATCTTTCACCTTTATTTGTTTGCTTGTTTACTGTCACTCTTTCTTCACTAACATGTAATTTCTTTAAGGTCAACGTCCTTGTCTGTCTTGTTCACAGCTGTATTCCCAACACCTAACCAAGACCCTGACATGTAATAGCTGACAGATTCATTCAATATTTATTGCATTCGTTCTGTATTTATGTCATAGCTATTCATTCAGTATCTTTTATTGAAAGAATGAATGTATGGCTACGAATGAATGGGTGATGGTGATTCTGTATCCCTGCCCTCATAGTGCCCATGATTTAGTGGGGGAGACACACACTCCAACAAGTACTTCCACGGTCAGTGTCAAAATCTCATTGTGCTGAGCACGTTTTCTGTTCTAACTAACTTGCTGATTAAAAGACGGGAATTGTTTTGCAGGAATCTTCCACAGCTTCCTCTCGAGAAAAGGCTGGAAAACTAGAAGCACAAAATAGTAATTTCCTGTTTCCTAAAGCCTGCCACCAAAGGACACGCAGCAACTCAACCAGTAAGTGTCTCACCAAGATGTCCTCAGGAATGGGGCTTAGCAGGAGATTTGGGGGAGGCTGGGGCTCCCCTGGTCGCGTTGGACTGAACCAACATTGTAGTCTGCTTACGTCTCTGTGAGCTCTCTTCCCATGTGCACACGTCCTGGACAGCTCGAGGGCCTCTGCTTTGACCTTCAGAGCTCTATGTGGTCTAGTCCACTCCTCCAGCTACCCTCCAAGTGCCATGCTGGGAAGACCTGGATGGAGCTTTACTCCTGTCTTGGGAAGGCCACTCCCTCTCCCGGGGCCTCCTTTCCCGCATCTGTTAACATGATGGGTGCCGAGGTTGGAAGAACTCATGACTCTTGGTTGCTGCAAATAGAATAACACTAATGCAAAATCAGGAAAATGCGAAGAATATGGAAAAGCATGAAGAAATTAAAATCACACCAAATCGGAATTTCAGAGAAAATCTATGTCAACATTTTCAATTACTTTTAATACTTCAATTACTCTTATGCCTGTATATGCCTATAAGGGGCTTACACACACACCCTATCTATTAATCTAGTTATCTAGCTATATCTATACATGTAACTTTACCTCATGTCATTTGAAACTCTTAAGTAAACACCATTTTTAGTGGATACATGGTGTATCCTTGTGTAAGTTTACATAATCTAGTTAACCAACTCCCTATTATTAGACATTTAAGTTATTCTCAGTTTTTTCACTAACATTATCAATGTTGCTTGGTTTGTACATGAAATTTTGTTTGAGTTTGTGGTGGTTTCTCAGAGTAAATATAAAAGGCCAGTGGACTGGTACAGGGTTAAGAGTTCACATTTGGGAGCCCAGGCACTTTGATTTGGATCCTGCTTCCGGAATTAATTATCTGTGTGAACTCTGGCAAGCCTTATTCTGCAGTAGGATGCACCATCCTCAAAGTGATAATTTTCTATTTTGGGACAGCTACTTGCTATTTTAATCATAAATTTTTCCTTTTGACTTTTGGCATAATTTTGTAGAAATGGAATCTTGGGTCAAAAGGTAGGTATAGATTCAAGCTCTTGATCAGTACTGCCAAGGTTCAGTAGATAACATCCCTTCAACAATGTATATAAATACCTATGTTTAATCATAGCCCATACTGGACTATAATTTAAAAAAAATATTTGCTATGAAGGTTTTTCTCCATTTCCCCCTCTCTCTGCCCCCCCCCCAGCTTTTTAGTGTCTTGCTTTGAACCCAAGACCAGCTGTTCAATTTGTGGGGCTCAATGTCAAACGAAAATGTAGGGACCCCCGCCCAAACATTATTAAGGATTTTTAAGTGGCAACAGCAGCACATTGGACCCAGCTGGCATTCTTCCCGCCACAGGGCCCTGGGTGACTGCACGGGCCGCACATGCACGAAGCCAGTCCTGCTTGCACCCTGGGAGTTGACTCCTTCAGCTGGTGTCACCTAGGCCCCTGGCTCTTAGTCCCTGAGGGGCATCACCAGGAGGGTGGTGGTGGGAGAGAGCGGCCGAGGCACTTCCTCCTGCAACCCCCCTGCCCCAGCGCCAGAGTTCCTGCAGCTGTGACTGCAAATTATGTCAGGGTGCCCGCCTTGCATGGGTCCAGTGCTCACTGGGCTCTGATAACACCATTTCCTCGCCTTACCCCTTCAGGCCTGGGGCGGTAACAGCTTCCTGTACCTCGATAGGCCGTGTCGTTTTCCTAAACCTGCCCACCCCTCTGTAAATGGCCCCTTTATTCAATTCTTGTCCAAATCTCAGCTGAGTGGGCCTTCTATTTCTTGCCCAAACCCTAATACACAGATCCATTAAATGAACGGAAAAGAGGCCCTCTCCATCCAGGTGAAGTTGACTGTTCCTTCATTGATTTATTCTGTGTTGGCTGAGTTTGACTATTTTTCTGCTGGGATGATCATTGTTTTATCATTCATTTATAAAAAGCCTTTTGGGTAAATTAATACTGACCATCATATTTCTTGAGAATACTTTCTCTAATTTGTTGTTTTTGTTTAATTTGTTTTTCCACATGGAGACACTTTAATCTTTATATAACCGAACTTATTGATATTTTCCTTTATAATTTAAAATTCCTTCCACATCCAGAGAACTATTAAATATGTGGCTATGTTTTCTTCTAATTTGTAAATGGTTTGTCTTTTTTCCCCCAGACGGACTATATCTGTAATTTATTTTTGGTGGTTGAGATGAAGTAAGAATTTAGATAGATTTTTTTTTCTCTAAATGACTAGTGAGTGATTCTAGCACCACTTATTGATAAGCAATTTCTGTCCATCCTTTTAGTTTACTTTTTTTTGTTTATTTTACCCCTTGCAAATGATATGCAGCTAGAGCCTTTGAGAGCAAATTTGGCAATCTTTCTAAAAAGAGAAGCTCAAATCACTGATGTTAGTCTTATAGATAATATTTGCTTTTACTTATCTCTTTTTTATATTTTCAGTTTCTACAGTCACTTACCATATATTCCTTTTCTGCCTCTTGCTATATGTTGTATGTGTGTGTGTGTGTGTGTGTGTGTGTGTGTGTGTGTGTTTGATTTTTGCAGCAATTTGGAAGATTTATTCAATTTTCATCTCCCCTTCTGGTTTCTTTTCATTTTAAATTAATCCATTAATCAATTAGGTTTAATTAGTTATTTAATACTTGAGACTATAATTTCTGTTTTAGTCTGTTTTGTGTTGCTATAACAGAATACCTGAGACTGGGGGATTTGTAAAGAAAAATGACATTTATTGCTTACAATTTCTGAGGCCGGGAAGTCCAAAGTCCATCTGGTGGTGGTGACAGTGACCCAGGGGTCTCACATTGCAAGATGGTGGAAGCAGAGAGGGCAGAGAGAGAGCACACAGAGAGACAGACTCTCCTCTTTTTTTTAAAGCCCTCAGAACCACGCCCCTGATCACCATTTTTAATCCATTCACTTCTGCATGGTCCTACAATCCAATCACCTCTTCAAGGCTCCGCCTTTCAGTTACCATAATAGGATCCCACCTTCTTAACAGTCACAGTGGGGGCTAAGTTTCTAATACATAAAACTTGGGGGACGCAGTTCAAGCTTCAGGGAGTTCTGGAAGGACATAATTCAATCCACTACACTACATTTTCCAAATTGTCTCCCTCCTGTAAGGTGAGGAACTTAGCGTGGTGGTATTCATCCTTAGTTCCTTTTCCCATTTATCTTTCCATTTCATAATTCAAATCAATCTTAAATTACAAAGATTATTATTACAAAGACTGTGTTATTATTATTACATAATCATCACAGTATATAGCTCCCCTTTCAAAAATTATTATGGCTATTGCATTGGATTTTATAACCACATTTTCAGTTGACTCACTCAATGAGATATGTTTAACGGGTTTCAACTTCCCCCCGTTGGTGATGATAATTTTGATGTATTTCCTGGCTGGCTGGAATGCATCCACAAGTCATTTTCAGGAGGGGTAGGCGAGGACTCAGACCAGTGAGAGCTTTGGAGAACCTGCTGTGTCCTGACTCTGGCTCAGGCCCTGCAGATCTGAATTTACAGTGGGATCAGGAGCCTCCACAAAAGCAGAGCTGGGCGTGGCCTGAGCTGCTTGCAGGGGGCCTGCTTATGGCTCTGAGGTTGATCTTCTCTGTGAACCACTCCAGATTGGCAGCTTGTTTGTTTGTCCTTACTCCCGCTGAGCCCTAACCATGCTCTGCTGCCCTCCTTCAAATCACAAGTCACCCCTGGGCTGCTGTGGGTGCAGAAGGGGCAGACTGGGGTCCTGGAGGCTAGGATTATGCTGGGGACTCTTTTGTTCCCTGCTCTGGAACCCTCTGAGCCTCCACTTCCTCTCTGACAAAGTAAGGAGTGAACTCCAGCAGGGTCCCCAAAGGACAAATGACGGGCTGGCTGCGTCACCTGGGGAGCCTGAGAAACATACAAGTTCCCCCAGTCCTCTCCAGTGCACATACAGATTCGTTAGGTTGGGAAAGGCCCTGAGATCTGCCTCGCTGTGAAACACCCCTGGTAAATGTAACACGCAGGCAGATTTAGGACTAGGCCATCTCCAGACTCTCCTCTCAACCCTGTTTCGTGAGTCAGTGTCCTCTCTTTCCACTGTGTGGTTTTCTGAGCCCTCTGGCTTCCTCTCTCTCCTGGTGCATCTGGGGGCACTTGGATCCTGTAAGTCAGAGAGGACCACCTACTTGCACTGAGGCGGCTGCTGAGAGCAGCTGCCCTGGCAGGGACACTCTCTGAGCCCCGGTGGACCAAGA